TGGGGCTGGGGTAGTGAAATTGTTCTGCAGTAGTGGGTAGGTCTTCTACAACGTTTTTTTGAATAGCAGTTGGGTGAAATCCTTTATTTCAAGCCTCATATTGTATTAGGTAGTGACCAGGAAACATCAGCATTTATATTACCAAATTGCAGTGATTAGTTTAGTATTCCTAGAAATTGGAGACATGATTGTTACTACATTACCACAGTTTTAATAAAGCATTTATTGCATAAATGCTGTAGGTTGTATTGCTCAGAATAACTGAAATCTCTTTTCAATTACTTGTACATATTAAAAAAAAAAGTCATTAAAATATAGAGGATTAGTGCATTACTCTTTTCCAGGCAGTAAGGAAGGTGATACAATTTAGGCTGAAGTTGTTTCTGTTTCTGAAATTTTATTAGTTACAGTTGACCCCTAAAAAAGAAATACATCTGATTTATGTTCACTAGACATGAGGAGTGAATCAAAACTCTGATGTGGGTTATTTATAACTATTTACAAATATGTTACTTTAAAAAAAATATTCGGAATAGGGAAGAGATTGTTTTCTTTAACTTCTCTAAAAGTTTTATTTTCCCTCATATACTGTGCCAAGCAAGAGTCTTATTAAATTTTCCAAGTTCTCCAGGACATAATAGTTAAATGTTTTTATGTCAATTAATATTGACAGGAAGTCAGTTTGAACAGCATTGGAAAATGGAAGTAGTTGGCAGAACTGGCTAATTTCCCTGAATTTCCTTTTGCTAAAAATATCTCTAAAAGAAGCTCTCCTTTTGAGATACAATGAGTGTTTGTTTGACTGTAGTTTAGAATTGATGGTGACTCTTGTCCTTTAACCAAAAGGGCTTAAAAAATATGAATAACCTTTTGAAACATATTTAGCTTCCTCTGTAGTATATGTAATTATACTCATGGCCACCAAAAGTTTACATACATTCTTGAATTGGTGTATGTGAGTAAGCCCATGAGCTTGAATGATCTGCAGTAGAAGGAGAAGTTCTGTGCAGCAGCTTATGTGAAGTTGGGCATTTCATTTATATACATGTTGGTAGGGTTGAGTTCTGAGTATGGTGTTTTAAGGTGTTCCAAGTTCTGTCTGAAAACTCAGTCATTAATGTATGAAAGGGTAAGATTTTTAGGCCTGCTACCTGAGAGCAGCATACAGCATCAAATATGTATTCTCATTTATACTGCATGCGGCTGTGCTAAAAATACTTTTATAGATAGATTGCAATGGCAAGTATTAAAAGTTATAAAATACTAGAAATAAGACGAATCTCATATAGTTGTTTAGGTTCTGTGCTACCTCTGTTATGGTACAAGAACAGGACAGTCTAGATCAATTGTTTCACAGATTTGGGCAATTTTGGGGGTAAGTCAGTGTCATTTGACAGGAAGACTTCTTGCTTGGACATCTTTCACTTGTGGAAGTTGGTGACTGAGGGGCTTGTAGGAAGAGAAGGGGTTGTGCCATGAATTGCAGTTCTGCCCTGGCTCTTGTACTCTTTGTGACTTCTTCTACCTGAACAAAAACAAAGAGGGGAAGAAGGGTTGCAGGAATGTCAAGGGTAATGAATAAACACGACATAAATGTTGCCTCGTGGCAGAGGAATTTACTGCTTCATGGATAAACTGGGTGAAACGTGGCTTGGTACCTGCTGCATGGTGGGACCTTCTGCTGTTGGGAATCCCATCCCTGGTGAGTGACCTGAGGAAAGGGCAGAGAGACAGCAGTGTTTTAGGGCTGTTGGGAACTAGAGATACGAGGCTGTTGCAGTTGAGCTGTTTTCTTTGATGTAATTCCCCTGTGTGTTTCATGTGGTAAAGGTTTCATCATAAGCTTATTTTTTTCTTGTAAGTGCTAGTTGTAGTCATTCTAGGTATTAGATAATGATTTTCTTTGGAAAGAAAGAGGCTAGATCAGGTCTTATGGCAAGTGGCTGAGGGAGCCGAGTGTGTTTAGCCTGGAGAAAAGAAGGCTCAGTGGAGACCTTATCACTCTACACCTACCTGAAAAGAGGGTGTAGGCAGGTGGGGGTCAGTCTCTCATCCCAGGTAAGAAGTGACAGGACGAGAGGAAACAGCCTCAAGTCGCACTAGGGGAGGTTTAGATTGGATATTAGGAGAAAGGGTGATCAGATGTTGGAACAGGCTGTCTAGGTGGTGGAATCACCATCCCTGGAAGTGTTCAAAGGGCATATGGCTCTTGGGACGTGGTCAGCACAGTCATCCTCGGTTAATGGTTGGACCCAATGATCTTTGAGGTCTTTTCCAACCTTAACGATTCTATGATTTTAAATCTTCTCTGACTGTTTTAAAATACACGTTGCAGTCTCAGGCAGAAATTAAAATCCTCAGTAAAGAGATAAAGATGCCATATCTGCAGCACATTTAACTGTTAGCCTTTTGTCACTCTGAACAGAGAGTGTATTTTGAAGGCCTGCTGCACTGTAAGCTGGGCTCTGGTTTCTGTGTGCCTGTGGCTTGCCTGCAAGTGAACTGCCTCCTATTAGGTGTGAGGTGACGCTGAAGTGTCTGGTTATAACCCTTTGTATTACTCTGGATTTTCTTTTATGTTTCAGATACTGCTTTTTAGTGAGTTTTCAATTTTTATTCTTTTGTATAGTAAAGGATTTTTGTTCCTTACCAGAAAATGAAATATTAATCTGGCATGTTGAAACAGGGAGTGCCCCTTCCCCCCTTTTTTATAGGTAGAGTTAAAGTTATTGATAACAAAGGCAGTGAAATGCTTGCAGATTATTTGGAGCACTTGCAGTACCGAGCTGCTTTCAGCAGTACTAATCTCCAGCCATCTTTCCTTTCTGAGGCTCTTTCAAAGCCTCCTTCAGCTGCTGTGCACATAAAAAAATGAAACAAATCTCTTGGTGGGCCCTAACCTTAATTAAATTAAAAGCTCATGAGAGCAGCAGCCCTTTGAGTATTTCGCACTTTAGGGCCTGATGTGGAGCAGTAGCTGCCTGGCACTGCTACATGGCTGAGTTTTCTGTTTATTATCAGAATTTAGAAACTCTGTGAGTTCTCAATTCTTTGTGTTACCTTTCATACTGAAAACAAGTTGTCAGGCATTTCAGGCTCCCACCCTTTATTCAGCTGTGTTTTTGCATTTGGAGTCACTACATCTCCTATAACTGGAGTTTTACAAGCCTGTGGATTATACGGTACTGAGAACAAGCTTTAAAATATAATGTAGTGAGGTTAGTAATCTTGAGGGTTGGTCAGGTTAATGGATGGTGTAAAAGATGTGTGGAAATCTTAAGGATACAGTAAAGAACCAACTTGTGCTGCTTTAGGAAACTCAACAGTGCAGAAAATTTCCAAGTTAAAAATGGTTTTTGCTTGCTGCTGCTAACATTGGGCCATAGTCCCTTACAACAGAGTGGTCCAGAACACAGTGACTGGAGGCAATGTTTGGTTGTTTGGTTTTTTTCCCCTAATATTACGGGGTTTGTAGCACACAGTTTGTGATACTGCAGCAGTAATGAATCAGGGCTGGAAGGCACCTCCTGAGGCAGGTTCTCTTTCGAGCTTTATTGCTAAACATCTTGACTTGCAGCTGAGGAAAAGTGGCTTGTCCTTCTTACCATCCTTAAATAGATTTTCTTGACCTTTTCTTAAAAATGTGAATGAATATATATATATATATGTATGAAACAAAGCATGCACCTTTATGTTCTCTGTGTACATAAGGTTAGCATACGTAGCGATACCCCAATTGAAAATAGTTACTTGAGCTTTGCAAAAAAATATTTCTACTTAATGTACTTGGTGATGGCTTAAGTATGCAAAATATTATTAATTGATTTTGATTACATGCTTTATGGACTTGTGCAGAAGCTGGAGTGCCAGGACAGTGACACAGCTCCTGTAGAGGTTTTAAGGGTATTTTAAAGTAGCTCAGGTGTCTTGGGAAACAGGATACTCTTCTGAGATACAAATAAACTTTCTTCATCAGTCAGTGTTACATAACAAGGCTAAAAGGTGGACCAACATGGAGACTTGAAATTATTGTTGCCATTGATTGACTGTTTATTTTCTTCCACAAAGATGTATTGAAAAACTTCTCCAGAGTATTCAGAAATGCGAAGTTGTTGGCCATGTCATGTGTTTTGAATTGAAACATGAAACAGAGCTACTTCCCACGGTGCATGATGATTCATAAAAATGTAAAGGGGCTTATAGGTTTCAGATTCTGCTCACTGATTAGGCTGCATTATAGTCATTGAGGGGGGAAAGAGTCAAAATACTGTCTAAAGAGGTGTTGTATCCTACTCTCAAGAGAAACTCCTTCATAGTTTTTCTTATCTTGAAGCCTAATACATTATTTTTTCTGGGCTTGCAGTTGGCTTTTTGGTAAGTTTATTTTAAAATTCCTTATGTTTGGGTATTGGAAACCATGAAGCTGGTGACAGTGTTCTGCTCTACATTAAAAGCAGAGACCTGTGGTTCAGTGCTGGTCAGAAGAGAGATCTTCAGGCAAAGTATTTGTGTTACCATAGTGTATTAGATTTCACTGGAGGTAGAATTGAGACTCTTTTGTGCTGAGGGAATAAGCCTCTACAGGTTTGTTCGAAGAGGCAGGCACTTAAAATTGTAGCAGATCTTTATTGACTGATTGGGCATGGAGGGGAGGGAGAACATTCATGTTTATGACCAGAGTGTTATGCCAAGAACTAGGTAAGATGTAAGACAGTGACTCAGATGTAGTACTGAAGGCAGTATTATGTGTAAGAATTGTAATTTTTCTTTCCTCCTGTATACTGATCAGTGCAGCTCTTCTACCACAGTGGGTCTTTTGAGCAATATGTGTAGTATTTTTGGTTTAGCCCTGGGTTTTTCGTTGACATTTGTTGAACAGAAGGACGAATCATTAACCCGAGTTTGTGAGCACCTTCTTGATGTAGAAACATTCAACATTTAGCTTGAAATTAAGGTTTATATTTACGCTAACCTTGGCTTCTCTTCATTCTGTGTTCCAGAAGTACTAATACGGAGCATTTGACCTAACCTCTACAGCTGAATCTCCTGAATCCAGGATAAGGAAAAAGTGCCTTCAGAACCAATATGTAGCAAATGGGTATCACACCTCTGAAGCTCCTCCCTTGGTTCAACACTTGCATGTTTTAGGGATCCTTGTTGCCTCAGCAGTGAATTGTTCTTGTGGACTTCGGAAACGGATTTCATGTGGTGCTTGCTGAACACTGAGTCACCATGAGTAGTAATCTAGGAAAAGAAAAGGACTGTAAAGAGAAGGATCCAAAAGTCCCATCATCAAAAGAAAGGGAGAAGGAGGCTAAAGCCTCTGGAGGATTTGGGAAAGAGAGCAAAGAAAAGGAGCCTAAGACCAAAGGGAAAGATGCCAAAGATGGAAAGAAGGACTCCAGTAGCACGCAGCCTGGGGTAGCTTTTTCAGTGGACAATACGATAAAAAGACCTAATCCAGCCACAGGTACTCGCAAAAAATCCAGCAACGCTGAGGTGATCAAAGAGCTAAATAAATGCCGGGAAGAGAATTCTATGCGCTTGGACTTGTCCAAGAGGTCTATACACATGCTTCCATCAGCTGTCAAAGAGCTAACGCAGTTAACAGAACTTTATTTATACAGTAACAAACTGCAGTGCCTACCGGCAGAGGTGGGCTGTCTTGTGAACCTGGTGACACTGGCCCTGAGTGAGAACTCGCTCACCAGTTTGCCTGACTCTCTCGATAACTTGAAGAAGCTGCGCATGCTTGACCTGCGGCACAACAAACTGAGGGAGATCCCGGCGGTGGTGTACAGGCTGGGCTCCCTCGCCACCCTTTACCTACGCTTTAATCGTATAACTACTGTGGAAAAGGATATCAAAAACTTGTCAAAACTCACCATGCTTAGCATACGGGAGAACAAAATCAAGCAACTACCTGCTGAAATTGGTAAGCGATTATACTGATTGAAGGTTTAGACCTGTTCTCGTGTTCGCTTTGCAGGTCAGTTAAGTGTACATAAACTAGCGCTTCTCCAACTGCCCTGCATTTAAAACTTCATAAAATTGTGCTCTTGATCATACAGTTCCATTATTAACTTAACTGAGAGTAGTCAATACCTTGGATATATGTATTTTTAAAAACAACAAAAGCCGTTTTTCTTCATCTGTCGTCTTAAAATCAGATGTGTCTTGTTTTCTTCTTTGCTTTGTGCTTTCACATGTTGTGTCTTGAGAGCCCGAATGGTTTAAAAAAAAAGAGAGATACAGGAGCATTTTTCATTTTAAGGTTTCTTTATAAATCATTTATGAACTGTTTCAAGTTATAAACACATTATGGGCGTGTTACAGAGGGGTGTGACCATGGTAATAAAGGTAGAATAGGTAGCTACATGCTATTACCATGGGCAGGCTGTTGGGTGATGTAACAGTTAATAATGGAGGTTAATGATCTGTGTAAGTCTCAACCTTTTATAAGTCATGAATATATTAATACATGGACTCTAAAGTGACCAAGTGTTGTATGCATGGCTGATACTTCTTATGACTTTTTAATGAATAGTATTTGTTTTTCCAAACATCGTTACGAAAGTTTGAAAGATGGTGAAATAGTATGAAAGTAGCTTATTAATTTAAATGGTTTATTACAAATAATGTGCTGGACTAGCTGTATATCAAGAACTTCTAAGTTGTTCCTTTTATGACACTGTTCCCCAGAAATGTTTGAACAACATATGTGCCCCATAAAAGCTGGGATTCTGTCATCAGTAGGTTTTTTAATGTGTATCACCAGTTTTTAAAATGCAAGTCCATAGCTCAGTCCTTTTGAGAGGAGGGGAAACATAAACTTCATGCAGTTGAGAAACTACTTTGACTTTCTTCAAGTGTGGAAGAAAAACTTGTAAAGCACTGTGAGTAATAATTCCCATGCCCTGTTTCTAAAAGCTGATGCAGGACTTCTTCCTGTTGTCCAAGCCAGTGTGTGAGTACGTTGTCACTGAAGTTGGCCCCTGTGCTCGCTGATTTTGCAAAGGTTGGGAAATGGCGTTGTTTGTATCCCTAACAGATTTCTCTCAAACCAGAAATGTTTGCTTCTTTCTCTTGCACCTTGATATGAAGGATACCTCAGATAACATGTTTCTTGATGGCAGGAACTCCTGGGCTTGTCTGAAAGTGCTGATCAATTAGCAGCAGTGCGTGGCACAGACAGCGCTGTACGTGCTAACAGGGGTGAAGAAACGCAGTGAGACTCTCAGCTGTGGGTCTGAGGCTTTGGCTCCCTGTGGCAGCTACTAGAGCCACAGAAACACCTTTTTGCTAGGCAAAAATGAAATGGTTCATGTGGTATGTTTTCAGATCCACATGATTTTTGAGTTGGCATGAGCATCTCAGCAATCCCGTGAATTTCCCATGGGAGAATGAAGGAATTATAATTTCCACCTGTTTTAACACTTCAGTTCTACAGCCTTGTTGAATCTTCTACTGATCAACAAATCATACTGGAAGCTGTTGTTTACAAAAAAACTGTGTGTTTCTACATCCACTGAAGAAATTGTGGCCAATTTATCTGGTTAAGCTGTGCTATACAATTGTCAGTACTGTACCTGGGTCTGTTTGTGGCTCAGTTATTAGATGTAATCTAGCAAAGAGCCGTCCTTTCAGGTTCAACTGGGGATAGTACTGCATAAATTTAAATCAATACTAGTATATGAAGAAAAAAATTTCGAGATGTTGCATTCTAATGTTTGGTGTTGCACTTTAGAAGCTTTTTGTAGGTGTGTTTCACACTACAAACTTTGTTGCTGGAGCATCTTTGCTTCTTAACTAGTTTGTTTGTAGAGTATCATTAAGTTTACATTAAAGTGATGTCTGTATGTTTTTGTTCACAGTAGTCTTGAAAGAGATCACGTGTAACCATTTAATGGAGAAAATTAGTAGGTACATATATCATGAGTATGTAATTCTTTAATTTGTATTTTTTTTATTGTCTTGGTGTGTGTACAGGCAGTGTTCTCAGTTGTTTATCAAACCATAGCTTGAGAACATTAACTACTTTACTTCTGTCTTTGTATCCAGCAGTTAGTCCTGCCTTTATTTGTATAGTGATAATGCTCATGTTCCTTGTTACGAGTCAGCACCTCATTGTGGAAGGCATTTTAGAAACACAAATGCAAGAGGACTGTCACCCTTATGCAGAGTATTGAAGGGAAACCACCATGTTCAACAGCATCCTTTTTTATTTAAAGTAAATTTCTCTGCCTAGGTTGCCTGAAATTGAATCAACTGAAAAAAAAAATTAATTGAAGTTTAAGTAACAGAGATAATTTCAACTGCCAAGACACACAAAACAGGCATTTGGAAATCTTTTTCCTCAAATAGTAAAACTGGATAAGATAGTTTCACTTTTGTAATTGATTTCTACTCACTCACTTTCATGTTTCTTTGTTCGATGAAGTATTTGAGTTGAAAACACAGCTGAAAAATGAAACTGCTGAGGACTGTATTTCTTACTCTCTAGTGGAATTTCTCTGTTTCTTTAAACACTTGTCATTTCTCTACATCTTACATGTGCACTGTAAAAAAACCCCTTGCCTTTTAAGTCTCGATGCTTTTAATTCCTTGTATGTTTTATAATACAGTTTCCAAATACTACATGCAAGCAAACACTCATATTACTGCCTTGTAAATCACACAGAAATTTTTGTTCTGCAAAGCGGGAAGTAAAATGAAGCCATTATCTTTTATAAGGCAATATCATGTGGAGCATTTCAAATTCTTTGTAAAAATACCCCATTGTTCTAAGGCCTAAGGCTCACAATGGTATGCTAGTGTGCTTGTTCATATTTTTAAAAATTCAAAGCTTATGTAACCCACTGACTTGTGCAGCGAGGAAGAGTCTTGCAGCAGTTAACTGCGATGTGTCCATGTTGCTGATCTGGTGCACAAGTGAGTTCAAAATAAATTTCTGGAGATGCTTATCTAGAACATCTGCTGCTTGCTGTGCAAGGGTACGGTATTAGTACTTGTTAGAAATAGATTCCTTGTAGGGAAACCTGAAACTAACTGTAAAACATTTCTTAAAAGTTTGAGTGAAGGTAAAACATTGAACAAAATGTTTGCAAAGTGTACAGTTGATCAGATTTCAAGTGGTCCTGGAAACTGCTTTGCAACAACTGACCTGTTACAGTGTGTGTGGTCTTGGGGAAAACCTAGAAGAGGTGAACCTGCCAGCTCTGAGCTGCTGGGAAATAAGCTAAAGTTTGATTCTATTTTGGGCTTTAAACTGTTTTTAAGCTGTCTTTAGATAGTTAAACAACACAAACTTAAATTAGGCAACTACACTTGAGGAAAAGTTGCTTTGCATTTAAAAAAAGCATTCTGGTGAGAAAGAGGAAGTGTTGTTATCTACAGTTAACAAACAGATGTGCATGTTTATGGTCTTTCCCCCCCCCCCAGGATTCAGTACCTCTCGTTCCCTTGCACCCGGTTGCTTTATTATAGTTGAGCTTTATTATAGGCAGATAGCTATCAAATAATTTCTGCTAGTCATTTATTGGATTTGCCTTAATACTTTTCCAGCAATGTCTACGTTGCTTCTACATTTTTAATACAATTGAAATTATTTCAATAGACTGTGTTGTAAGCTGAGGTACTGGATGAGCATTGTTGTATTTTTAAATATAAATAGATTTGTTTGAGTAAGATCTAAAAATACTTAAAAATCCGTTTAACTGAAAACATATTCCAAGGTTTGTGGGATTTTTTTTTACTGCGAGTTTTTTGTTTGTTGGTTGGTTTTGTGTGTTTTCCATTTTTCTTTGTTTGTTTATTTCTTTGGGGTTTTTGTCTTTTTTTCATGTTTAGCCAGAAACTCTGTTCAGGAGTAGGTGAATTAGGGGGAATTTTCATAAAATGGCTGTGCTGATATGTAGCAGTTTCATGATGCTGAAAGGAGCAGTATCCATTCCCCTTCTCAGAGCTTCCTGGCTGCTCACCCCTGAGCTGTTCATTGGTGTGCTGACTTATCTCACTGAACTAACAGAAAATATTAACGATTTTGCTGCTTTCGTTGTCTATTACTTTAGTTAGTTTAAATCAGTACAGTTTCAGATAAGACTGGAACTGGTGTAGGAGGAGTGGGAGAGCGTGAACTGGAACAGGGAGAGCAGGACGGCCACTTTGCCCACACTGAGCTGTTGAATCAGCTCAGCTCACTGAGAAGCCTCACAGGTAGGATTGCTCACGTTGTATAAAACCATGTGAAGTGCTCTGCAAGTGGTTTGAGAAAGGGTGAATTGCTGTCTGTAGAGAGCTGTTGAAAATGCATCAGATTATGTTTTCAGAATCTCTTTTTCTTTTGCCCCTGCTTTCTTGTACCACAAACCCCTCTGTAGCTTGTTGGAGTCCTTGTAGCATCAGCTCAGCCCCTTCTTCCTGAAACAATTTTTTGTTATGTTTTTGTGTAGTGGTGAGAATCCATTGATGGAAGTTTCTTGATAGCAAAGCTACTCTGTTTTGCTCTTTGTGAACCTAGCCTTTCTTAAAATTGCATCCTGCCTAACAGTGGTGATAAATTGAGTGCATCTTGCCCAGTATCCTGCTTCTGACTGTAGCCCTAAGCAAACATGTGCATAGAAATAAGGTAAGTTTATATATATATGAGGCTTAACCTGACTCCTTGCCCATATACAACTGTTTTGTATCAAGGATTTCCTGAGTCTGGTGCACCTTGTCTCTTTAGTAGATCTCAGTACACTTTTCTTCCACAGGCTTGACCAGTTTTTTTCCTTTAAACTCCTATAAATGCCTTTCATCCTTAGCAAGGTCCACAAGTTTGCTTTGAAATGTTGTTCCTGACTAAAAGGTCACTGTTACATAGCTGTTGAAAAAAAATACACACACACACACACACATATATTTATATATATATAGACACCAAGTGCAAAGCAG